CACAGCACCACTTCCGGCTTTTTTCTTTTTGCTTATGTGGTGCTGAGGAATCGAACCCAGGGCCTTGAGCATGCAAAGCAAGCGCTCTACCACTGAGCCACCTTCCCAGCCCTCAATGTCACTTTTTAAAGAGTGTTGAATTCATGATGTCTGACCCCCTTCCCACTTTCCTTTACTTGGTGTAGGGCTCCTGTGTGGACTGCCAAGCTCTGAACACTAGCACATGTCCCCCCAACAGCGTGAAGCTGGTGAGAAGCCCTTGGCCCAACTCCCAGGGCTCCCTGACTCCCAATAGCCTGAGCCTGTCAGTTCCTGCCCTGGGTCATGGTAACAAGAAGGGATCAAAAGGCCAGGTCAGACCTGGACACTCAGTGCTTCACAGCCACCCTGAGTGTGGGAGTGTTGGACCCAGGGCTGCCTGGCAAGGGGCTGACCCAGCATACCCCTGCTGACTGGCCTGGCATGGTGTCGTACCCCAGGACATTTTCCCCAAGGAGTGTGTCTACACCCATGACCCTACTGGGCTCAATGTGCTGAGGAAGGGCTGTGCCCACTACTGCAACCAGACAATCATGGTGAGGCGGGGCATGGGTGTGTGCTCCCCTGGGACTCTGGGCACTGGATTCCCACCTGGGACCCCCAAACTGAGTTGAGTGGATTACCTTTCCCAAAGAGCTGCACTGCATCCCCATGGTGGAGGGGGTGCCATAGGCCATCCTTAGCCACTCGCTTACTCTAAAGAAGGGGAATGGGATGAAGAATAGCTGGGCAGGGCAAGGCATGACCTAACCTGGGTTCTGGGGCCTACTATGTCTCTTACAGAAACCTGGCTGCTGTAAAGGGTTTTTTGGGCCTGACTGTACACAGTGTCCTGGGGGCTTCTCCAACCCCTGCTATGGCAAAGGCAACGTGAGTCCCTGGGAGCAGGGAGGGGAGGGATAGGCCTCTTCCCCAGCTGGCAGTGAGTATCAGAGCTAACCTGCCTTTCTCTGCTGTGAGATTCCCCATTTCCAATGTTCTCATTAGAAATACAGTAAACCTGCCTTATTTGCAAACTTATCACATATAATTTTGACCAAGTGTGGTTAAGAATTTATTTTTAAGGCATGCCTGTAATCCTAGCTATTCGGGAGGCTGAGCTCTGAGGACTGTGATTTGAAGCCAGCCCAGACAGGAAGTCCATGAGACTCTTATCTCCAATTAACCTCTAGAAAACCAGAAGTAAAGCTGTGGCGGCTCAAAGTGGTAAAACACTGATCTTCAGTTAAAAAAAAAAAAAAAAGCACAGGACAGCACAAAGGCCCTGAGTTCAAGCTCCATGATCCAAAAAAAAAAAAAAAAAGATGTTTAAAAAAAATAAAAACAGCCGGGTGCCAGTGGCTCACACCTGTAATCCTAGCTACTCAGGAGGCTGAGATCCGAGAATCTCTGTTCAAAGCCAGCCCGGGCAGGAAAGACCGTGAGACTCCTATCTCCAATAAACCACTAGAAAACCGGAAGTGGCGCTGTAGCTCAAGTGGTAGAGCGCTCGCCTTGAGCTGAAGAGCTGAGGGACAGCGCCCAGGCCCAGAGTTCAAGCCCCAT